ATGATGCAAGCTCCTCAGGACAAGTAGCTACCATGACCAACAAAACTCTACTTTCGACTTCTCAAACTCAAATGGATAGAGATGATCAAAGGGGAAAAATTTTCCCAGCTTTCAAACCATAAGAGACTTTAAAGGAGTAGTATAGTGCCCTTTTAATATTATTTCCCAACTGAAGGTCAAAAGAAGAGTTGTTTTTGATGGATTGACACTACCATTCCGCAAAGAAGCTCCGCTTAAGAACAAATAATGGTTCAAATGATTATGGAAACGGAAAAAACTACTATTGTACGATATTTACTCAAGAATTCAATTCATACTTCGTTTCCTTCTTTGAGGTGAACACTGAGCCCAGGCTCTCTATCGCAAACTACATTCGAAGAAGTTACAGATTTTCAGTTAAACAAAGTGCCAGGTTAATCACCCTCTTCGATTGCAACATTCTCTCATTACGACAATGCTCTCTCAAGCTAAAAGCCAGCGCCAGAAAAAAAATCATTGATTTCCCAACCCAAACGAAGCAAAAGTTCTATTTTAGATGTACTCAGATAACACAACATAGTAATCTGATAAATGAATAACTAAAACAAAGCCCCAGCATAGTAAATAGTTGACTGAACTAGAAAGCATCGTGCAAACAAAGTTCGACCAGCCTTACCAATTTCTTGTCTGCATCAATAATGACATCCCCAATGACGAAACAAAGAAACCCAAATCCAACCGAATCGATTTAATTCTAACTGAAAAGCACTATACCTATTGGCGTGAAGCAAAGCAGCTGGTCCCAAGTAAGACTCAGGGTTCCACCAGTAACTGGGGCAAGAGGTGCTGCAGCAAGCGCACAATATGCACTCATACATCCCGTCCAGCTTCGCCCTGTCCTTCTTGCTCTGCGGGATCTCCTTCCCGGGCGTGGGCGGCGCGCTCTTCCGCTTCAGCCACGGCTCGATGCTCTTGTACTGGTTGTAGAAGTTGGTCATGTCCACGACCAGGTCCTTGATGACGAACATGTGCGGCAGCGGCGTGATCGTCGTGGGGGCCCCGTCGGAGATCTTGGTGAGGCAGGCGAGGCCGTTGCAGCCGTCGATGTTCATGGCGCAGGACCCGCAGATGCCCTCGCGGCAGGACCGCCGGAAGGTGAGGGACGGGTCGATCTCGTTCTTGATCTTGATGAGGGCGTCGAGGACCATGGGGCCGCACTCCTTGAGGTCGATCTGGTAGTCCTGGAGCTCCGGCTTCGAGGGGTTGTCCGGGGTCCACCGGTAGATCGAGAAGGTCTTGAGGTCGGTGGCGGGCTTGGCCCTGGGCTCGACCTGCTGCGCCTGCGCCTCGCTCGCGTGGCGCCGGGCGAGGAGGAGGCGGGCCGCCGACGGCGCCGCCGCCGCCCTGGAGATCGGGATTGCCCGCTTCAAGACGCCGGTCGCCATTGTTGCAGAGCTAGCGAGAGAGAGCGCAGCTGATTTGCAGAGCGAGAGGAAGACGACACAGAGGGGACGCAGGGGAGGGTTCTTCGGGGGAAGAGCCTGAGGAGGAGGAGGGAGGAAGGTGAAATGACCGAAAGAGTCGGTTTAGACAGTGATCAAGGGGGGCGGAACGCGGGGGCATTTTGGGGATTTCAGGAATGATCGCTGGCCATTCTGCGGTGATTAATTGAGCACCGTGGATCGGTGGAGGTTTACAGGGGGGAGCTAGTGACGTGGCGGATTCTGGACCGTCGGGGGGGCGGGAATTAGTGACGTGGCAATTCTTCGGCGAGTGTTGCTCCCGAATTTTGCTTTTGTTTGCTGGGATTCGTGTGTCGACCATGGTCCACGTGACCGGGAACAAGTACCGATCTTTGCTTTGCCACGAAAGGAGTTCAAACACGGGTCGCGTTAATTAGGTCGCGCATTATTCTGTCCTTAGCATTCATTTCATATGGTTCGAAATCGGATTATCGCATTCGCTCATCCTTGTCGTGTCTAGTCCCGTTTGCGCAATTCTTTTGAGGGAAAATTCCATTTTGGTACCTCAAGTGAAAGCGTTTTCTCAATTTAGTACCCAAAATGGACACGGTATCAAATAAGGATCTGAAGTACTCAATTAATATCAAATAAGGATCCGAAGTGCCCAAAAAGTCTCAAATAAGGGTCTGGGTCCGGCCGGCCAAAATTGCCTACCGGCCGGCAAGAATGTTCTTTTTAATTATTTTTTCCTTTCTATTTTTCCTTTTCTTTTTTTTTCCTTTTCCTTTTCTTTTTTTTTTTCTTCTCTTCCTCCGCCGGCCATAGCCGGGGTCGGCGGAGGTCGCCCGCCTCAGGCGGAGGCGGCCCTCGCCGGCGTCGGGCGAGGGCCTCCCTCGCCTGGGCTAAGCGAGGTTAGCCTCGCCAGATCTGGCAAGGGCTCGGCCCCGCCGGTCGCTGGCGAGGCTCGACCTTGCCGACGTCGGGCGAGGCTCGACCTCGCCGTTGCAGGAACAGTAACATTCTTGCTGGCCGGCAGGCAATTTTGGCTGCCCCGCGACCCAGACCCTTATTTGAGACTTTTTGGACACTTCGGGTTCTTATTTGAGACTAATTTGGCACTTCAGGCCCTTATTTGACACCGTGTCCACTTTGGGTACCAAATTGAGAAAACGCTTTCACTTGGGGTACCAAAATGGAATTTTCCCTTCTTTTGAGAACTCGAGACACAATGCTTTAGTGATAACTTTCGGTGCAAGCGAAGGGGAGACGGCGATGCTGCAGCATGTGAAGTTAGTTCATTGATGCGGAACATCTCCTGACACCTCGAAAAGATATACGTCGCGAGGCTTAGGGTGCGCATGGCAACGATTCTGTACCTAGAAACTGATTCTGCTCAGAAATAATTCTTTTTGATTCTGTGCCCGGGAATTGATTCTGAGCATTTGAAGGCGTTTGGTAACAGCCCAAAATTTCCATTCCTGAAATAGTAAAAGAACATAAATACGTTTGGTAACGGCATAAAATTTCTTTTTATTAATAATATTATAAAAAATTTAATATTTCTTTCTTTTTTTCTTCTCCTCCTTCTTGACCATGGCCGGTAAAATATTTTTTTATTAATAATACTTTTATTAAAAATAATTTTTTTTATTTTTTTGGCCATTGCCAGTAAAATATTTTTTTATTAATAATTTTTTTATTAAAATATTTTACTAAAAAAAATTTTATTGAAAATATTTTTTCTTTTTTTTCGCCATGGCCTGGTCGCTGGTCATGGCTGGTAAAATATTTTTTTTATAAATAAATTTTTTGTTAATAATATTTTTTATTAAAATATTTTTATCGAAAATATATTTTTTTATTTTTTTTCGCCATGGCCGGTAAAAAAATTTTTATTAATAAATTTTTTTATTAATAAATTTTATAAAAAAAAATTTCGCCATAGCCTGGTCGCTGGCCATTGCCAGTAATTTTTTTTTTCTTAATAATATTTTTTATTAAAATATTTTAATCTCGCCAGATATGGCGAGGGTAGCTCTCGCGCAGGATATTAGAAGCTACATTAAAAACCAAGAAAAAGAAGAAAAAAAAACTGATTCTCATTTTTGTTCCCAGAATCGAGAAGCTACTTTTTTTTTATTCGATTCTCGCTCCAAAACCGATTTTGGGCACAAATTTGCAAGAATTTGTGCCCGTAATCAAAAAATTAAACATACGGATTTCTGTTCCCAAACTGATTCTGGGAACAAAAGAACAGAATCAAACACTATTTGGCAAGTTGCCATGCGCAGCCTTAATAGAGAGCCCAACCATTGATAAGGGCCCCGCGCTCGAATCAAAAGAGCAAATGTTGGGTGCAGCATGTGCATTTGCGCAAACTTTTTTCAGAACGCTAAATGGATGGTGTCCTCGGATTTCGAATTTATACACAGAGCCATCAAGTCTGGCTATCGTACGTATGCATATAATTCACACCTCCAAACAAGTGATCATTACCATGCATCGATGCAAGAGAAGAAATATATATATGAAACAATTGCTCCATATTCAACTACCGCGCACAAAAAAAGAAAAGCATAACCCCATTAAAAATCTATTCTATGATAAATTTTCTAAAGTAACATGATCGCATTGTCTATTCATACCATAATCCTCATCTCAAACACATACAAAAAACACAAACCGGGTCGGGCTTCTTTGATTTCAGGAAAATAGAAATTGATTTGAGTTGTATTTTAGGTCTGATGGCGCTCAAATTTGGCCGATTGGGTTAAAAGAAAGAAGGAATACAACAGACTCAAATTGCTAAACAGTAGACTGGGTAATGAAGTCGCACAAGGCCCAATATATGGGATATCGAGAACTCGGCACCAATAATCGATTGGGACATCGGGATAAAAATAAGAGTGGTTAACCCATCTGGTGCCGATAATATCGCAAAATAAAAGGAGCGATTATCAGGAAGAAGATCGAATAATCCAAAATCGAGACAGTAACTATTCGGTAGCTGTTATTCTTTAGCGTTAGTTATAAATAGTTTTCAAGAGATCATACCTTTTGTCAAATTGACCATAGAAAATAATACCTTTTGTAATCCCGTTTGTTCAATTGTCATCGTTAATTTATCTTTTGTTTTTTGTAGCACAATTTACCTTTTGTCCGTTTACTTTTGTTCGCCATTAACGTAGAATTCGTCGCTTCCTTTCCGAAACGACACAGGATCCGGTTACTCACAAAAAAGCCGAAGATCTTCCCCATCGGTAAAAGATCTTTCGTTCGAGGCCACTCTCGGCGAAACAGGGGTCACTTATAGCGTTCGTGTCGAATAATTTCTTCAAGAAAGCAACTAAACTTTATTGATTTTTCATGGGTCAAAAAATATACACCAAGATGTGGATCATACGCTATGATGCAACTTGAATTGCACTATAGAATAAAAAAAACAATAATTTCAGGTCTCTCTCTCTCTCTCTCTCTCTCTAGAGCGGAGGAGTTCGTTCGTCACCAGCAAAACCTGCAAAAGAACGCGCAAATCGCACACTTCCCCACGGCCAAAATCCATCAAAACCTCAGTCCACCATTTCGTCAAACACCTTCCCTCCCTCTCTGCAAATCCTTCCAGATCCAAAACCCTCGCCACCTCCCTACCTCCGATCTCCGTGCACGGTCCCCGCCTCCCCTTAGATGGGCAAACTCTCCGTCGTCACCTACATTGCGGTCGCCGTCCTCCTCCTCCTCCTCGTCTCCCGCTCCCCGAGGTCCCCCTCCGGCCATGGCCGCGGCCACCGCCGCCTGAAGCTCCGGTCCAACTTCACCTTCGTCAAGGCCCCCGCCGCCGCCCAACACCCCCGCCGCGAGCCGGTCCCGTTCGATCCGCTCGTGGCGGAGCTGGAGCGGCACAGGGAGGACAAGCAGTGGGAGAGGGAGTACTTCGAGCACGCGCACCCGGAGGTCGTGCAGCGCGCCGCCGCGGAGTCGGCGCCGGGGGAGGAGTCGCAGCCGGAGTGGGAGGATTTCATGGACGCCGAGGATTACTTGAATGACGAGGAGAGGTTCAATGTCACCAATAGGTTGGTGATGTTTTCGTTCGCTTCATTTTGTCTTTTATCAAGTTCACATCGCTTGCGAGTTCCATTTTTACTTGGAATAGGCTCTATGGAACCTGTATGTTCCAGAAGTAGGTGGACTGCAAGTTTTGCCTTCATTTTCTCTTGCAATGCTCGTGCAATCGTGGGTCATGCTGAGATTACGATGATGATGATTAGAATTGTGAGGTCTAGTTGATTAGAGGTGGGGTTTTATGTTACTTTATAAAGCATCGTGAATTGCACTGTTGTTTGCGAGTGATCCGTGGATTTAAGAGACTGACAACTTTGGTGCTTTAAACTTATGCTTTGATGCTTTACGGTAGTTTCGGTTTTCGTGCATTAATGGGTGTGGTATAGAGGGGAATAACGTAATAATATCCAGGGTCGGGTTCTTAGTGGTTTTTTTCTCTTGGGCGATAGCTGTTCAATTCTTTAAAATGAGTAGTGGATATGGCTGTTTATTCCGTTATGGGAAGAAAGGGGCATGTCCAAGCAAGTGTGCATGGTTATTTGGTGATGCCCAGTGTTACAAAATTTTTTACAGACTTTGAAATTGATGCATTCTTTATGGCCATGAAGCTGTAGAGCTGGTTAATTACTGATAATCCCTAGATACCAGGCTTTGTGAGTTTCAGGCACCGAATGTCCTTAGTATTTGCTTGCATGTCCTATCTTTGAAGGGATACTTCTTCATCACCCATCCTACCATCTTCTTTACCTTCCTCTTTTTGTCTCCCTGTACTTTTTTCCTGGTTGGTGCAATTCTTTTCTTAATAATATTTGTCAAGACTGTTTGCTTCAAACGTTCTTGGCATCTAAGATCATCTTAGAGTAAATATGCTAGGAGGCATGCATGCATAAGATATTTGTGATCTCTATTTTGATCTGAGGTTGTGGAGATTTTAACTGGATGAATAGGCTGGTTTCGCTATTTCCAAAGATTGATGTGGATCCGCCAGATGGGTTCGTGACTGAGCATGAATTGACAGAGTGGAACTTGCAGCAGGCCGAGAGTGAGGTCATGCATAGGACTCAGAGAGAGATGGAGCTTCACGACAAGAACCGAGACGGTTATGTCTCATTTGCAGAATATGAGCCGCCTAGCTGGGTCCACAGTTCAGGTCGATGTTCTATATTTTTTGCTTCTACTTGTCATCTAGTTGCAAGATCTTGATCAGAGACTAATGCTGTAGATGAAGATAATTGAACTTCTTAGGGATTCCAACTCAAACATTATTTTGCTCAGTCATATATAAAAGGTGAATCACATCCATATATGAAGAAAAAGTGTGAAGCCTCATAAACTAAAATTTTCACCATTGAGCAGGAAAACCTAAATTAGCTTACAGAACTACAAACTTAGTAGAAATTAGTAAGGATAATATTCAAAACTATAAATCACGGAAAGATGTGGGAAGGTTTGTTGACAGTCAGGACATTTGCATGCTACTGAATTTACTCTTGCCTCTTTTTGAGATACTGAAGGCACCCTTGCCTTCATAAGTGAAGAAAATCAAAATGAAATGACCGGGCTTCATTCTAAAGGAACAGGATATGGGATTTTTGTTAAGGCTTTCTCATGGAACTGTGCTTACAAATTCAGATCTTTCTGTAGAAACTGGGCCTTCAGCTTTGCTGCATTAAGTTTATTCAAGTGTGAAAACTTGTTCAGTACTGCCTTGCAGATAACGACTCCTTTGCTTTTAATATGGGCTGGTGGAAAGAGGAGCATTTTAACGCATCGGATGCAGATGGAGATGGCCTACTCAATATTACCGAGTTCAATGAGTAAGCAATGAAATAGCATAATTTCAATTTACAATACGAGATGAGTTAACTATGCATATTTTGATAATTACAGCTTTCTCCACCCAGCTGACAGCAACAATCCAAAGCTTCTTCATTGGTTAAGCAAGGAGGAAGTAAGGTGACATTAATTCCTAAATCACGCATTTCGTTTTTCTTTCAAATTTTCTATACTCTATTTTATTCTCTCAAAAGTATCTTCTGAGTCTTCTGTTTACTGTTTTGACGTGGTTGCTGTATTTAATGTCACTACAAAGTTAGTTCTGTTATGTAAGAAGGATAAATTCTGGATGGAGATCATATAATGTGGACTTGAGGTCGGGTTTGCGCATAGTTTAACTTTGGCCAATGTCGGAACAGATATTATGCTAGCAAATGTAACATTTATGGCCATCCCGACAAGCATAATCTTATACAAAAAGATTGTCTCATAGCAATAGCAAACATGCATTATCATGGATTTCTAATCCTTTGATAAGTTTTAGCCAAAAAAACCATTAACGGTTCTCTGATTGTGCATGTGACATATCTTTCTCATTCAGGGACATGCTACTTCTACGAGTAGATCTAGTTTAGAAAAATTCTATCTTTTCTTCCTTATACTTTTAGTACCTCTCTAATAAAATCCATGTTCTTTCAACTTTTTAGTCAAGCTCTTGTACTTATACAATATGTCTAATGAAGTTCTTCCGATACAAAATCTGGGCAAATCCAGCTGACGTGCGGTCAGAAGATGCTAGAGTGTGACGTGGATTAAATATCGCTACGTAGACAACCGTAGTGGATAGTGAATTAGTGGAAGCACGAACAACCTATTCATTATCCACAATCACGGCGGGAGTCCACATTGTTAATATTTAATTCACGTCACCCTCTTGCTTCCCCTGACGGCCACATTAGTTAGATTTTGGTCGGATTTTGTGCCGGAGGAACTTGAGTAGACATTGTGTGTAAGTAGAAGGACTTGATTAAAAAAATTGGAAGTAGGGGAGCAAAAGTACAAGGATGAATGTAGAAATTTTCCTTTTAGGTCTAGAATAAATGATGGACACTTGATTACTAATTGCAAAAGGGCCTCCTGAAATTATTTATATTTTGTGAATGTGATCGAGTAGTTACTTACCCCTTGCCTGGATCACCTTATCAAGTTGTCACAAAGACCGGTTCTCACACTTGATGTTGTTATCATTTATGTAATGCGCATTTATTTCCAAAAGGTAGTTGTAATAACCATGTTCTCTCAACCGTCTGTGGCTTTGACTGTAACTTGTGACCATTATTAGGCTGATTTTACAATTTGCTCTTCCACCCAGGGAAAGAGATTCCGATAAAGATGGGAAGGTCGACTTCAAAGAGTTCTTTCATGGGCTTTTTGACTTGGTAAGAAACTATGATGAAGAAAGCCATAATTCATCACATAGTTCTGATGATTCAATGGAGGCTCCTGCCAGAGTACTGTATAATCAGCTCGACAAAGATGGTGATGGGTACTCATTTTCCTCCTCCACATATTTCCTTGTTCCATTATCAACTTGATCCTGCTTCCAAGAAATTGTTGTCTTATGGGCTTAAATTTACCTATGCAGATACTTGTCAGATGTAGAACTGCTACCTCTCATTGGAAAGCTTCACCCTTCGGAGCGTTATTATGCCAAGCAACAAGCAGATTACATCTTGTCACAGGTATTCTCGAGTGAAAAGGATTTCTTGAATTGGTCTTACATGTGTTTGCTTGTGTGAAGTAGGTAGTTGGAATTTGCTACTCGATCATGGGTCACGATAGTAATTTTTGTAGGATTGTTGATACTGGTTATCACATTTTATGGCAACCAATGGACTAGTGTTGCTTGGGACAATTGGTCTCCATGGACTCTTTACATCCTAAAATACTTCCATTATTTCGAGTCATCTGGTGCTTAAAAAATATGCATGCAACTGAAATCAAGAAAACTCATGGCTCTCAAAAGTCTCATATATTTTTCCAATACCAAACAGAAGACAGGAATGAGGAGTTCGTGGGGATAATGTTTCTATTTCATCCTTTAGAACTAACTTGCATATCATGCCGTGTCTGAATACTCGATCGGCAATGCCCAACATTGGAAGCATGAGCAGCTGACAATTGGGTAGTGCCTCAATGTTTATTCCTCCTGTAGCACAATACGCTTGTTATTCATCTTGTGCTCATTTATGAAGTTACAATGGCCCTGTTTCTGTAAGAACATGGAAATACCTACTCTAATCTTGTACAGACTCCAAAACCTGGCTGATACCAGGATCGTATCTTCCAGGGAGTGGCCTCATGAAAATATTTACTCTTTGACTGGAATTATCGGATGTCTTAATCTGTCCTTTCTTGATTTGGGAAGCACTCGTGTATTACCATTAAAGTATGATGGTACTGTTTCATTGATTGAGCTTGCTGGCATAATTCATTAGATTGGCTTCCTTTTCTCCTTATGGAGTGCTCCTCTGGTTGATGCTAGTTACTTGTCAATGCAGGCGGATGATGACAAGGATGGGCGTCTAACATTGACGGAGATGATTGACAACCCCTATGTATTTTACAGTGCCGTCTTCAATGATGATGAAGATGAGTATGATTACCACGACGAGTTCCGCTGATCTCATACTAGGTTAGAGCAATTATTCCCTTTTCCCGACATATTGGTGGCTATTCAGTTCCTGTCTCTTACGGCTCTAGACTTTTAATGCCAGTCCAGGACATCGACAAACGCAGGAATTCATTTTAAACGATTTACTGAAAGGTTCAACATCGTTTAACAAGTGTCACGAGGACTTGATTCTTGTGGTGAGTATCTGCTTTCCTTGTTCATTTTAATTTTCTCATGCAAATTAATTTTTTTCATTCTTATGTTTTTGGCTTTTCATTGCAGGGATCGGTGCTTACCACGGAAAAAAGTCTCTTGCAATTGTATTGTTGTGACAATATAAAGTTTGTAGCGAACATTTTTGTAGCGATCTGATATTTCTGACTTATTTTCCTGTTTCTTTTTCTTTTTTTATTTCAATTTGTTTGTCACTAAGTTATAGCATCTTTTCTTGAACCTGGAAGGACCGATAGAGTAGATTGATACGGGTGCGGCCCCACATTGCAAATCTTTAGCTTGCGTTTGTAACAATCTAAGCATACATGTTCGTCCCAAACCTTCAATAATTGAAGGTCCAAACCTAAATGTGCACATCTCCATTAGTTTCATGTATTAGATTTTTTGTGTACATACGGATCATTGTTTATGTGGAAACTCACGGTTGCTTTCGATCATGAGATATATGGTCCCGTCGTGGAGATTAACTTGCCATCATTGTGCAACATTGCGCAACATGGGGTATCCACTTCTGATGGTATCGGATCATATGCTCAAGAGTAACTAGTCCCGCCCTTCTCCTTCCATAAGATTACAGAATTGGCGTTACTTTCGATACTTCAACACCCTAATGACAACTAAAGAAATTTGTTTCTATAATCGATGAATGACAACTAAAGAAATTTGTTTCTACAATCGATGTGCCTCTGAAAGTATAGTAGGATCGCTCATCTAACAACGTCATTGTTCTGCTGCTCTCAGTTCGCCGTTCTCGCGACGTTTTCGCGATTTGACCGCATTCCCTTGGTTTTAAATGGGGATACCTATACCGTCTGGCCAAAGCGTCCTTTGTTTGTTAGGGATAGGGAGAGACTTAACCAAGCCAGCGTACGTGAACTGTGTTTGATGTGAAGCGATAAACAGTGTTTGATGCGAAGCGATAATCGACTACACTGTTAACTCCGTGAAATTTGGCTGAACTGGCGGAGCCACTTCTCTTGCAATAAGAACCACCCCTTCGTAGCTTGCCTGTCATCGCACAGTTGCGCACCCACTTCCTATTTACGCCAACAATAGACTTCGAAGAAGTCCCGTCAAACGGAGACTGAACCTGAATCCAGAAAGACAATTGAGATGTTCTCAACATTTTCCTTTTTTCCAAAATGAAATACGCACGTGCACAAATAGAGAGAGCTTGCCGAAGTCGAGACGCGTGCATACGGCACGCGGCACTGCACACCTCGAATGGTTCGGCTATTCAGAGAGGGAAACTGTAAAAACTCTTTTGAAGACGAATCCCCATGCTCTCTACCTTCGATGCGTAAAAGAGGTTCGAAGTCCAAAATCGGTTCCTCACAAGTAAGTCACACTACCACAAAGAGATATATCGTGGTTTCGCTGTCATCCAACCATCTCGAGCATTTGCAGATAATCTGACCGGCTCGACGCTGGTGCAGGGCATTCACGCATCCAGATGCTACAACCATTACTGAAAAAGAGGATTTGGTAGGGCAATAGCTTTAAAGGTTTGAGGCCGCATGAAGTGTCTCCTCATCAATCGTATCGCGTTTCCTATATCACGCGCAGATGTACATTGTTCTGTCTTCAAACTCCAAGCAAATGTCCGCATCGACTTCAAGAACAACTGGGATTGCAGTAAAACGCAATTCGCCGATTGCGCAAGAATAATTCCTCGCAAGGCCAGGCCGCACAGGCTGCAAAAGAGAAACCAAAAGAAACACCTTGAAGCAGCTCTTATGAGATTCATCCTTGCCAAAATGATAGATCCGACACTTCTCAGCAACACTTTCACGGTTCTGGTAGGCGGCAGGTATTAAAAGGCAGATTGGATCGAACATCGGAAGAGAAAAGCAGCGTCGACAAGCAGAACGATAGAGGCTACAGCACATCAAGAAAAAGAGTTTGACAACATACAAAACAAGCATATGACAAGTCTGCATATTGCAGAGCTCCCTCTGTTCCTCCATCATCTAAGCAAAATGAATGACTCGACCAAAAATTTGCAGTAAAGCCGAACGTACTTTGCCCCGTTTCCATGCCACCAAAAACCACCAAAGCGCTGCCGAAGAACTCGCCGAGTCCAAATCTTTGTTTTTCCTTATTGCCACAATTTCAAGCGGATACCGTAATGGTGCCTGAATCGAACAATCCACGAAGATCAAACGGTATCGTGTTCATGTTACTGAACAGCATCGACGAAATTCAATATACAGACAGCTTCTCGAGATGGCTTTTTCGTCCGAAATCACCAAACCTCGCACCAAATGCAATGGGAAACTCAAGATAAAACATGGACGGAAAAGTCAGTCTCCACGCTCATGCCCTCAACTATAATTCGATGCGTATCGCGTTGATCCGCACGAGACAGACACAAAACACTCTCTATTCTATCCTTACTCCACCCCCTCACGAGTCTAAATCGCTCAAGTCCTGGATTGAGTACACAACCTCATAGTGACGATCAATTTGAAATCCGGGAAAACATGCTTTCCGCACAATCTAACCCTAAACACACAAATGGGGGCCATCTTCAATATAAGCGTGTGCAGGGAGAGTGTTCAAGTGAAGCCACGGAAGTATAACAAGGGGTGTGAGGAGATTACACGCTATTTACTCTTCTGCCTGTTCTTCTTCTGCTCGCTCTCGTCATCACTGTCGTCGTCGTCGTCGCTGCTATCGTCGTTGTCGTCGTCGGGACCGTCGTCGTCATCCGAAGGCGGAGAAGGATCGAGACGAGCGGCGTCCACCGCCCACTGAATGAGCTTCTCCACTTCATCTTCCTCCTCCTTTGGTCGATCCTCCTCTCCGTGGCTCTTCAGATCACCAGCCTCACGCCGATCGCGACCGCCAGCCGCCGCGCTAGGGCCGGCAGCCGCAGCCGCATCGGAAGACGAAGACGAAGACGAAGACGAAGGATACAGCGATCCTCTGAGCGCGGCGAACCGAGCGGACAGATCATCGCCCAGAACGGCCTTCAGCTCGTCATCGACCTGAAGAGGAGACGGCGAAGAAGAAGAAGAAGCCGAAGCCGAAGCCGAAGAAGAAGCCGGAGGAGGAGGAGGAGGCGGCGGCTGCGGCTGCGGCTGCGACGGCGCGGCGGGGGCGGGGGCGGAGGCGGAGGCGGAGGGACGAGATCTGAGGGCGTGGAATCGGCGGGAGAGATCGGGGTCGAGATCGGAGGAGGAGGAACGGGCGACGTGGGAGTTGAGGGAGAGCTTCAGGAGGACGTCGTCCTGAGCTGCGCGCAGGAGCTCCTCCACTTCGTCAATGGCGCCTCCTCTCTCCTCTCCCTTCTTCCTCCTCATCTTGGCTTGTCGTCGTCCCCCCCCCCCCCCCAGCATCGCCGGATTCCCAATATATATCTCGTCGATTTATATGTAAATCTCTTGAAAACATATTAATTGATTATTGTTATTATTAGAAAAAGTCATTATCTACTGCTGACAAAATCGGGAAATTTTACTTTTACAACTTGCAAAAAAGATTAAGAACGTATTTGTTTCACGGAAAATATATCATTTTTGAAAAATACTTTCCAGAAAGTTATTTTTTAGGAAAATGAGTTCGTTTTTCGGTACTTGGTTAATACCTAAAAAAGACTTGCAAAATATTTTTAATTATCTGGTGAAGAAAATTTGATAGTGAAAAATTATCGAAAAAATTTGTATTTTTAAATTATTTTTATTTTGGAAAAAGAAAGGTCGGCAACCAGCAGAGGGAGAAAGAAGGAAAAAGAACAAAAAAGAAAAGAAAAAGAAGAAAAAGAAAGAAGAGAAAAGAAAAAAAATATTAATAAATTCAAAATAAGCAATCCCGGAAAATATTTTCACCTTTTTAAATTAGGGAATTCACTTTCCTTTTCAGTTGACTTACCATTTTCAATGAACCAAACGGGCGAAAATCCGAAAAAGAGATTTCAAAAAATACTTTCCCTCAAACAAACGCACCCTAAAGAATGTCATTTGAGTCTCCAGGGCATATTATACAATAGCCTACCCAGCCTGCTCATTTCATGTGCTTACTATGAATCCAATAAAATGATCGAGCTATAATAATAAACACAATACCATCAAATAAATTCCGAAAAAACTAGCATTTCATGACAAATTCAACACGCCACGTCGATCGGATTCGGATCATGACAAGAAGAAGGAAGTATCGAGTTTGAATTAGGGAAAATCCGGCATGGCTATGATGTGGACCAGACGGATCAGATGGAACGATAAAAACGGTGAATGAATTTTGCTGTGAAGGACAACTATAGCACCACTACACATTAAAAGTGATTAGAAATGAAGATCCAAGTAAATAACCTTAATAGTATCGTTATTATTAACCCAATAATCTCATATCCTAGGCAGTCTCCACTGTCCAATCCATACCATTTTCTGTTCCAAACATGAGAACTTCGGTAGGACCATATCCCATCCTAGGTGGTCTTGGCTTAAATATCCTACTGCCGGATAAAAGCCGGCATGCAATCCGCTCCCTAAACTCAGTCGGGTAAATCAAGCTGTTCGGGAAATAGTGCGCACTCCTCCGGATCTCGCTAAGGTAAAAAAAAGAAAATGTAAATATGTTATTGACTCGATCTGTTAGATCTAACCATGGAAAATGTCCCCGGCCATTTGTCAAGACAATACAGTAAAGCTTCAAAAGTAAGTCCAGCCATCAATCTGCAGTATGAATCCCTCTGAAGAGCTTTCGCTTCGCTAAGAAAGATCAAACTTAAAAGTCGTAGCAAGTCATAATTTGCACGAAAGATACCTAGCTTCCAACTGAAGATAGCTACGATTCTAAGAAAAAGAGAGCAAAAAGAATTAGCAGCTCCGAGCTGTCTGAATAATGTTAGAGCTGGCTAAATTTAGCTAAACCAATTTGCTCAAGGATTGTACAACAAAAGCTCTCTGATAATCGAAAGGCAAAACGACCCACAAACTTGCAGTTTGCAGCAGCAATAAGGGAAGGAGGAATTCATCAACAGCTCCACGCATCAAATTTCACTGTCCGACCGTCAAGCCAAAACCAAATTTGTAGTCCTTCTTCTTATGATCCAACTGCAATATATTTACGCAACACGTTCCACATTCGTTATCGGGTCAAGACAGGGACACAGAAAATTGTCTATCAAACTCATGCTACTTACCTCTGCAGACAGTATGAAGTTAAGACCCATATTCAATCGCTCTTCCAGAAATGCAGCAACACAACCATTAGAGTCAATCTTCCCTCTTAGCCGAGACTGTAACAACCAAAAGACGGTTAAGGAAGGGAAGCATTCCCAGGACACCTCCCAATAGGGATTCGCATGGGATATGAAATCAAACTGCAACAAAGTGCATACTAAAGTAAAACAATAACAGTGCCAAATTATTGACACCGAAGTATCAATGATATCTTTCGTGATCTATCATCATAAATAATGCGAGATCTAGTGATGATAATCCAATCAACAAAACAAGATCATCCAACATGCTCTTGTGCCAAATGGGGAAATTTAAAGATGCTTAACTGCACGGGTTTGCATTCTATAGGATTGACATTTTCTTAAATTAGAATTGAGAAATTCGGTACCACTGTGCTGAACTTACTCTTTCGTGATCTATCATCATAAATAATGCGAGATCAAGTGATGAAAATCCAAACAAGATCAAGCAACATGCTCTTGTGCCAAATGGGGAAATTTGCAGGTGCTTAATTGCATGGGTTTGCAATTCTATAGGATTGACATTTTCTTAAATCAGAATTAAGAAATTCGGTACCACTGTGCTGAACTTACTCAAATTTCATATTTCTGATGCCATTGTAATTCAATTAAGTTTGCATGGATTTTGTTAACGCTAATTCAAAGCAATGGAAATTGCAAATGTAGAGGTCGTTAGAGCAGATTGTGGCAGCAGCACTGTTAATGGTGGCAGTAGTAGTACAAAATGTGATGTGGCAATCAGTATTGGTGCTAGCAATGGCAGCACTGCTGCTGGTGATGAAGACGCAGTAACAATAAAGATGGAAATTAAGGGCCTTTGGAAAATAGAATTCGTGTATAACGAACGTAAGAAATTAGTGGTGAAAGTTTTATTATTGTGGTCATAGACAAGCTAACACTAATCTGGGTAAACATTGTAGTTGGTCATGCACAAGCTACAGAGTAGAAATAAGATTTGCCTAATAAGGCAGTAATGTATTACCATCCAAAAAACAAATACAACCCACTTTGAACACAAGTAGAATGCAACTAAGGAAAGTTGATGGCTCCAGTCATATCTTGAGCAATGAAAAAACAACGAATATATTTTCACGCGTAAGATCTACCTGTCTAAGGAGGTAATCATAACCCACACTCGCAGTTGCATCTCTTGACATGTAGTTGTACATGAAGTCTGTTGCCAAAGAAACCTGATTGAGATGGAAAAAAAACTTAAGAACACACTCCAAAACACTAATTTAGGGAAAAAATGGTATGGAAAGCCCAGCTTATTCACCTTTTCAGACACTTTTTGAACATAACTCAATGCGACCATTCCAGTGCTAGCAACTTGTCCTGTAGCGACCTGTATGCATTAGCAACGATGACAATGACCATGAGAAAATCAAAAAGCACATCCAGATAGGAAAAGTACATCTATAAGCGATGTGAGTTGCGATACACATGGTCTCATTGACAGATTATAAACTACACTACAAAAAACGTAAACTGCACCATCAAAGTGCTCGCCTTTTTGTTAAGCTTTTGAAAATCACTAAACAGATGCTCGAGAAAATTTATAGTCAACAGCAACTCCAACATTAAAATGAAGAAAACCAGGTAGAAAAATCTCAAGACTAGCATAATCTATATTTTATATAGACAAAACCACACCGTGACAGAGGTTATGAGTCCTATAAAGAAGAGAAGTGTTTACAAAGTGAAGCTCACATAAAAAAAATGGATAAGAAACGCAATAGCTTCTATCATCTCGCAATTCAAGAAGGCCCTTGATTCTGACGACGAAGAGTTAGAATATAATATACATGAAAAAGGTCTTAACAAAGTAATGAAAATCTTCAGCTCATAGACCTGGGCATTATAATTGCATTGCTTATCTTTAGAGAATGCACATATAGCATGTCCAAGAAAATCTATTATTAACAAATCAGCTGAGACAGAAGAACCTACTCCAATAAGCCAGACATCCAAATATCTTACTTCTCTACACACTCCATCGCGTGAAAATCAATCTAAATACACCGTAAATAAGTGATTGATAGTCGAGAATTCAATCCAACAGTCCAACATTTATGTTAAGCATCATATCTCATAATAAGAGTGCCAATCAAGAATCACCACTCACCATGATGGCAATAGCATAACACATCAGAAGATGTACATGAGATGGCAAAAAGGTAATATAATGATTGAAAACAGAGCTCGCTGAGATCCATATATGTTTTATAGTGATCCAAAGGGCAAAAATGCTGATAATGGAATTCCCTAAGTAAAGAGCAAACTTTAATCTTATTGACCAAAGAAGGGCAAAGACCAAGGTATCGCACCATTTTATCTGTGCTGAATCGAGCAGCGTATCCAATACCAGACTTTCGATGCTGTCCAGCCCAAAATACTTCACCACCCAAAGAAAAATGAGGTGTCACACTCTGCAAGAAAAGATGAGTAGAAGGAGCCAATGAGAGCTACTTCATGGAGTATAAAAGAATCTCCACATGAGAGGTAATAGCATTCTGCTGCCCCGAGTTAACAGATCTATAGCTGTTAATCAAAGAAAAAGAAACCAAAATTTCATGAATTCATGACACTGAGATAAACTTTTGGCACTTTTGGCTTCTCTATGGAATGCAGCAATGAAGAAACTTGTACAGGCAATCCTTGACAATGTATCTAGTAAATTAGGCAACATGAACTCATAACGCAATCATCGTTGACATCTAAGGACTAAACTTTTCTTAAAATCACTAGAGGTTCAGAACTGTAACTTATTGAGAAGTGGAAAGGAAAGATTGTCTGTGCACACTTATGACACAAAATTTGACACGTGATTAGATTAGAGATTTTCATTACTAGATAGAGACGCTTCGTACTTTACAATCTTGAGATTATTGCAAATGCTTGTCTAATCGTGGATCTCATTGACCGTTTATATAATAAAGATCATTGTTCATGGGTAAGCAACCCCCTCAAATAGCCGATTTTGCAAATGCTTTCTTATACATACATAAACAGCCGATTCCTCGACACTTAATATGTTAAGATGCGAACTTGTACATTGTGAAAAGCTTCCCATTAATCAGTAGAAAAAATAAATAAAAAGGAAGAGCTTCCATTTTGTTACTAAGTTTCACAGACACTCACTCTT